CCTCCGGGCATCATTTTTACACCTTGTGACAAAATTTTCCAGAGCTCTTATGAAAGGTTAGTCACAAATGACGTCAGAGGGATGTCATGTTCTGTCATTTTTGACCCAATAAAAGGTTTAGCGGGAAGAGCTGTCACGCTTACAGTTTTGAAGATAACGAAAAATATTCATAATCAAAAAGATGTAAAATAAACAGCGCTACCAAACTGCTAACTCTTATTTCCAAACAAAAATTGATTTTGACCATCAAAACTATAGAAGTAAACACCCCGAAAATACCAACAACTTTCAAAATTAAAACTGAAATATATGTTATAGAACTATCTGCTTTAGATATGCCAAACTTACCTAAACTCGTTAGCTCCATTTTTAGCAAAGTTATGGCAAAAAAAAAAACTACTCGAAATTTATTACGTAAGATTTTTCAAATTCAATTTTTAGCCGTCACAGAACACACAGAGCAAGCCAAAGACCACCATTGGATCTCCTGTGATGAGCTGCATCGAATATGTAGATACCCCTTTTATGCAAAATATCAACTTTCAAATTTGACCTTCTTTGACCTGACCTTGACCTGACCTTCACCAGAATGCAATCTAAAATGGCCCCAATGGCCGTTTAGCCCACACCATTGAATTATAAATGTAAAATTGGCCATAAAACATGTATCACACGACCCTAGCATAGTTGGGTTCATATTGTAACCCTTAGTGACCTGACCTCTGTGAACTGACCTGGTATCAATGACCTCTTTAGGCAACATATGTATTAGACAACCAGCGCTCCATCGATGTTTTTCGATTACATGCCTTTTATTTGATGTGACTGTAACGCATTCCTTAGACTAAATCGGTGAAAAAATGCGACCTTTGACCTGACTTATGACGTCATGGGTTGCACCTAATTCAACAAAACCTGGTAGCAAGGTAGTTCCCTAGTGGGGCTATCGAACGCTCTTTGATTGTTCAAAATCGGTCGGTAACTTTCCGAGATCTCAGGTGGAAGGCGAAACGGCTGCACCACCCGATTAGGTGGTAGGGTCCGCCAATAGCCCAAGGGGCGCGGAATATTTATTCACTCATATAGTGTCATTTATTTTGAGAACACCTTTCTCACGCCATGACATGGTCCTCTCGTAATAGAACGAGATGAGGAGAGTGTTTTCACGCCTCCTTATGCACGGCTCTAAGTGTCATTGAGCTATCAACTGTCAGCGGTTTTCGGACAATGAAGTTCTTAGTTCTTACTGAATCCAATTTTATTTCAAACGATTGTCACTGTGCTAGTTTTTTTCTTAAACTTTTTTTTTGAAAAAGCGCCGAAGAAGTCTTTGATAGACGAAACCGGTCCGCTTATTCTTTTTCTTCTTTTTTTCTTTTTGAATATATTCGTAAACTACTGGCTCTTTACTACCAGATTTGAGAATGTTTGGTATTACTTTGACCCGAACGATGTGCAGCTGAATTTTCCCTGTTAAATGATTATGGACAGCTCACGAAATTAACTTCAACCTAAACTACCGACAAGCAGAAGAAAATCCGATTCAAGCCTACCTCAATCCTCTCACCTCATTCAACCGTTTAAACGTTAAAGGCATTTGTTCAGTCCGAGTCGCTATGTCGACCACCCGCGCCATGCTGGGGGGGGGGCGGGGGGGGGGGCGTTTTACACCCTTCCCTCTCAGGTTTTTCGCGAATATCTAAAAAAAAAAACGGCGACGGTCAGGTCACCGTAACGTCAAGTGACCTTACCTCAGAAAAAAAAATCGAAAGCTCGCTGTAGCTACACCGACTGAACGGACTTTAAAACTTTCAGTAATTGCTTAGGGTAAAAGTGTGTATAAAATGGATACCTCGGATTTTGTATGTCTGTGACCTAAGGTCACGTCAATTTTGCGACTGCTTCATTAGGTATAAGTCAATGGGAGAAAATTGAAATGCGCCTCTTTTGGACGAATTTCGTTCTACACCCACTCAAACATCGGTCCATAGGTAAACATGACATACTGAATCGGAAAATCGCACCTGTGACCCCTGTGTGTGCCCCTGAGGTCATTTTAGGACATAAAAGGTCTTCAGCAGTTTTTTACTTTTGACAGAGACGTGCTAGAGCGGTGAAAACACCGTTGATCTGAGGTCAAATTTGAGGTCAATCAGAGCGGTGCCCTCTGGGGGCTAAACCGTTGATCTGAGGTCAAATTTGAGGACATGTTGGCGAAAGAGCGTTAAAAGAGCTATCGAATGCGCTTTTCTGCGGCGCTGTAGCTCTATTGGTTCCCAAGTTAGCCGTCGGGTGTTCAAAATCGTTGAAATCAACAAAATTTGACCTTTGATGAATCCTGGTGACCTGACCTTTACTCGGACCTTAAAATGACCGAGTGTTTTCCTCCTTATTTTTGACGCTCTTTCGATTGCCGCTTACCGCGTGTCGCTACGTGGCCCAGGAGCCGAGTTAGACGGAGGGACGTGAAACGCCCCCCCCCCCCCCCCAGCACTCGACGGAAAGTTCATGCCACCAACACGGCGCGGGTTAATTGTTATGCTAGCTAGCTCCTGTTGTAAGCTGTGGAGTCGTGGACCTGATTTTGAATGAACTGGACCTAACATTTTCACAGCAAACGTAAAAAATGTTAAATAGGTTGTGCAAAAATAGCATCTCTTTTATGAAACATTTGCGAAACCTTCAACATCATCCCCAGACCCCATTAGTGCCGAGCTCCCAACGACGACCATAAAAGCGTCCCCATCCCGTCATAGGCGGCGGAACGGGAAGGGCACCGGGGCACCGTGCCCCCTTTGATTTTTGCATTTCAACATTAGCCCTATGAGCGTTGCATGGAAATAATAGGACCAAAAGTCGGCAGTGCCCCCCCCCCCCCCCTAATTGAAGGTGTTCCGCCGCTACTGCATCCCGTCAACGTGGGTTTATCATAAGGATGCTAAGATTTAATTTCAAATCCGAAGCTGTAATGATGAAAAGCAAATTTACGTTTTACATGTGAAACAAGCTGACACAACTAAATATTTCCTCTTTCTCGCTCCCTCTCACTGATTTACCCATTGCCCTCTATCTCATTTTACCCTCTCTGGTTTTCCTTTTCTGTCTCTCTTGTCTCTCCTTCCGTCCTTATCCCTTCCCTCCAGTCTCTCTCTCTCTCTCTCTCTCTCTCTCTCTCTCTCTCTCTCTCTCTCTCTCTCTCTCTCTCTCTCTCTCTCTCTCTCTCTCTCTCTCTCTCTCGCTCTCGCTCTCGCTCTCGCTCTCGCTCTCGCTCTCGCTCTCTCTCGCTCTCGCTCTCGCTCTCGCTCTCGCTCCCGCTCTCGCTCTCGCTCTCGCTCTTGCTCTCGCTCTTGCTCTCTCTCGCTCTCTCTCGCTCTCTCTCGCTCTCGCTCTCTCTCTCTCTCTCTCGCACTGTCTCGCGCTCTCTCTCGCCCTCTCTCTTGCTCTCTCTCGCTCTCTCTCGCCCCTCTCTCTCTCTTTCTCGCTCTCTCGCTCTCGCTCTCTCCCGCTCTCCCTGTATCCTCTCTCTCTTTCTCTCTCTCTCTTTCTCTCTCTCTCTCTTTGTCTCCCTCTCCCTCTCTCTTTCTCTCTCTTTCTCTCTCTTTCTCTCTCTTTCTCTCTCCCTCTCTCTCCTCTCTTTCTCTCTCTCTCTCCTCTCTCTCCCTCTCCCTCTCCCTCTTTCCTCACAATATTCTCGACTGTCACAGCGTTGTAGGACTTGTTTCCAGACAGGTCCAGGCGCTCTCCACTCCGCAGGCCCCAGCCCACACGGCCCAACCGCTCAAACACCCTCCGGCGGATGACCTCTGACGTCGGCGACCTGACCCCAGCCGACCGATCGCGTCCCCCTCCACGCCTCCGCCCCGCTTCCCCCACTACAGCTGCGTAGTAATTGTAGCGTGTGCAAAGGTCACGTGACATTATTTACTTCTGCGGCTTGTTCGGGCTGACAAGAGATGGCACTAGTGGTGTGTGGATCAGAGGCGGGGCTAGGTTCTACGACTTCTTGGGGCACACTTTAGGGCAGAAAAGAGGTTTTTTGGCTCTCCATCCCAAAATGCTTCGAATATACAAAAACAAGTTAGATATTCGAAAATCGGAGGACCAAACGGATCGTTTGACGTATCTTGCGCGACTGAGAATTGATCGGTCTTCAAACTACTGAACAAAAACGAGGTGATTAGTAGCAAGTGCTGGTGACTGTACCTCCATTGACCTTCTGACCTCACTGTCGGCACCACCTCTAATTCGTCACGTCCTTTTATTGCGGGCTACTGAGAACGGTTACGGGGTACTGAGCCCAGGGGCTGGACAAAGGCCACCTCGCGGAAAACCAGAGGCCGGGTTGCGAGGGAGACCAGTTTCCATTCGCTGCCAACATTGCTGGTATTACGCTTGTTTATTAGATTTTCCTTTTTGTCGGGCGACAAAAAACTTAATCCCTATGATATTGCACGAGAACAAAGAATGTCCTGGTTTAGGAATGTCGACGAGAGCGAGAGGGAGAACGAGAGTGGGGGCCGACGTAATCTTCATGCGAGCAATGGGTGCCGTTTATTTGCGGAATGACGCTAGCGGAGACATAAAAACTATTGGCAAACATTATCGCCCCAGCCGAGGCACCATTACGGCGTGGGGGTATGCTGTTGGACGTCGCATTTGTGCCAAAAGAACGTTCCTTTGTCTTGATAGTGGTCACGACGATTGCGACGATCACACGTGACACAGCTTGTGATGAAGAAAACATTTGCGTTGCAACATTGTCCAATCCGCCACCTGATTTGGAAGTAAAGCTTGATTATCATCCTCTTAAAATGATAAGCATTCCTGCCCTTAGTCTGCACTGACCCTTGACCTGACCTGATCTGCCACTGAAGCTCGTCTCTGACGTCCCGGTCTGTCTCTCCCGCCGTCTCTGCCGGCCGTCTCTGACGCCGTCTCTGCCAGTAAGTTTCTGCCGGCCGTCTCTGCCGCCTCTCTCTGACGCCGTCTCTCGTCCGCAGGGTGTCGTTCGGGAGCAGCAAGGGCTCCATGGTGGAGACGGTGGTGTACGATTACGAGCCGGCCCAGCCACTGCGAGAGGAGGACGGCACAGAGTCGCCGACCCCGCGCGCCGGGTTCACAACGTCCACACCACTCTCCACGCCGGCCAGGTCAGTCCACACGGCCGATACACGGCTACAGCAGTCCACACAGGCCAGGTCAGCCTGTATGGCTGTCCACACAGGCCCGAGTGTCTGCAGTCCACACTGATCTCCACGCAGGCCAGGGCAGTCCACACGGCCTCCACATAGGTCAGGGAAATCCACATGCACCAGCCAGGTCAGTCCACACGACCTCAACATACGGCAATCCACAGTCCACACTTCTCAACGCAGGCCAGCGAGTTCGCATCGGCTCTTCACACCAGCCACGAGCTACATAGTCTACGCCGCTTTTCCCATTGATGGTACTCCGTTATAACCCAGCATCAGCGAGGAAAGCGTCTTCTTTACTCCATAGCCCTTGGTTCGTTTCCTTCTCTTTCCCGTGCGCCTGTTCTAGCTTCCCTTCCCTGTCGCTCGCGCTCATTCCTCTTTGTCCCTTCCTACGGTTACGGACAAACGGTCCCTTGTGAATGCCCAAGACTTTCCTATGGAAATGGCTATCACGGCGCACAAGGGGCTTATTTACCGGCCCACGGTGTCGCTCAGTGTTGCTATGCAGAAGGGAGACTGCCTCATATTCATCGTTATACCCTATTCATCGCTCGACCAGTAGTCAAAGGTACACGGGAGGGAAGTTGCCTCATCAACGCCCGGCTATAGGTGATGTCATTTTAATAATTACCGACTAATCGTACGGCAACAATAGGCGGCTTTGCCGCAATCATCAATTGCGTTCAGTCATCAAAACATCATTACAGCGTGGTGCTACTATTGTGGCATGTTCCGGCGAGCTGTCGATATCTAGCGACGCAATGGCTTTCGGAAGCGTACCCGGGGCCGCGAGCCCCGGTCCTGAAGAGCACACCGCGCCGCTTCAGTCCCCAGACAGCCGCGTCTGCCGCATTTACATACTGTCAGCATGTGTCCGGTGGCGCGGCGCACCGGGTTGACGACCGAAATACGGCGCACCGGCGGCCATCGTGGCGCACTGGCGGCGTGACGCGACTTTTTGCCGGCGACGAGGAGCGCGGTCATCCCGGCGCAGCGCCGACAGACGCGGCGCAGCTAAATAATGGTCCGCTCGCGGCCACTCCCCAATAAGGATAATGGAATTTAATAACAGGAATTTTTGTTGGCGGCCTCGGCTCTGTAGCAGCTGGCCGCCAGACTGAGATGATAAAAGGCACGAAATAATATCAACTCGAGAACGGCGATAAGAACATCCACCAGCGAAATACCCGACCGTCCCTGTGGATTTCTTGCGGATTTGTTGTGTCCTTGAAACGGGAGTGTGGCCATTTTCAAGGAAATACGATCTCAATGTGCGTAGCACTGCCGCCGCACCCCGCAAGGTGCTGTCTGAAGCCGCTCAAGGCAGGAAATTCACCTCCGCCGAGCGGCAGCTAATTTCCAGCCGCGGGGGGCGTTGGTGCCGTGCCCATCCTGATGCGCTAGGCACACACTGATGGCGTGAGTAGAGTGACGTGCCCCCCCCCCTCCTGTCTGTCTGCAGCGGCACTTCCGTCACGCACCGTTCTCATCGGTGCCTTGGCTTCCTATCCTACCGGACGAGGCTGTGATATAAGGAAGGATTATGCAGGAATAATGCATTAGGGCTACTCGCAGGCATCGGACGGTGTATGTGATATGAAGTGATTTTTGTTTACGTCTGCGATTAGATCATCGTCCTCAAAATATTTTGCCAACTTTTACTTGAAATGTTTTCTGCAGGATACCACACACCAAAACTTTTTTAATTTGATTGCATGAGGCGCAGGAACCAGCGACCTTGGTCGCGTGGGGAAGCACTTTGATTCGAGACGTGGTTCAGCTCTAACCAGCGGCCATAAACGTTAACCAGCCTCCTCGAGTAGCAGTACGACGCCACTCAGACACTCACGGCGCAGTGGTGCCATTTGCGGCGCCTTTGAGCGCACTTGTGCCTCCTGACTGGGCTAATGCTCGGCGCCGGCGGTAGCGCTGCGAGATTGGACGGGGAGGAGTGGGAGTCACGGGTGGGCGGCCAGGCGGCACGTTTGTTGGCAGTAGGCGATCTGGTGGTGGTTCGTGGTTGGATTTGAACGCCACGGGCCGAGGAGAAAGGTCGCCGAGTTCCGGCGGAAACAGCCCGGGTCGGATTACGTCAGAGTTGTCCGTGATGGGTCATTGGGTCACCGTGACCGTGAGCTGGCTGTCGGTAATATAGGTAATTAGGGTTTGCCGCGGAATGGTGGCAAGGACTACAAATAGTGATTGCACGGTGTTATAAAATGGGCCATTCAGGCATTACCCCAGGGGTATCACTATACGTGTTAGTACACAGAAAAAATATTCTACTATTACGATGTCCGATAACACTAGCAAGAACTCTAAACGTTCCGATATCGACGCAGTTTTCCGACATTTGGCTATTTGTCAACTTGATCAATAAAGCCGAACGCGTGGCACTCAATTAATTAAGTGAAAGGATATAAAAAAGCCGTTAAACAGCTCATAGCCCATGTCACGACCTACCAGCCTGTTCACTTTCTTTTTTAGTAGTTCACTTTAAGGCTTGGCCTAAGCGACCACAGAGCCACGAAAGTGCAGCGGAAGCGTTCGTCCGTTGAAACCAGACTTCACTCTACCGGCGCTGCAACGTGAACCGAATGCGGCACGGCTGTCCCAATGCTCTGCAAGGAAGTCGGCTGCTCTCTTCCTTGAACCATCCCGACAGAACAGCGTCTTACTCAGTTTTTTAATTGATGACTTGACGAAAAGACAATACGCGATTTCCTGACTTGCTCTGACCTCTGCACTGCTTCTGGTCCACCAAAGCGGCGCACGAGAAGGGAAGCTTAGGCTTTTGGTAAACCTGGGGTGGCTTGCAGCCCTGGGGGCAGCTGTTATACACCAGCCGACCGAAGAAGGGTCTCAGATCCCCTACGCCGGACCGAGCAGTGATTTACTTGGCGAACCACGTGTCTCCGAGTGTTTTTCTGCGGTCTCCCCTCTCCAGAGGCGCCAGTAATTTACGGCTCCGAAGACGCGATGCGCCGTGGCAAATGATGCGCTGCTGATGTGGTGGCTGGTGCGGTAATGGGCCCGGTGTTGATTTTCAAAGACTCCGCTGTTTATGAAAACAGCTCTCCGGAATCCAGTCTCCCTCGGAGCGTGGCGCGAAGGGTTCCGGCGGAGCTGGGAAAGCACTGTCTGAACGAGCTCCATAACCATGAACGAGTGATCATGACCTCCCGTTTCAACGCCCGGGTGTATGGAACGACAGCAGCCGTCGCCTCTATATCATCTCGCTCGAGCAACCCTGTCATCTCATTTTGCAATAGTCGGCCATGCTAGTCGGGTTCCCGGCCCATCTCGCCCATAACTGTCGCCGCTGAACTGCTTTACGTTACAAAATACAGCTACCCAGTCTCCCGACGGCCCGATGCCTCGCCTCGGGGCATGCCGGTCACGGTGTCACGTGACCGTGTAGCGACCAATCAGCGAGAGCAGATTGTTATCACAGTCACGATCACATGTCAAATGCACGTAGGTAAAGTTAAAACCGGTTTTATATGTGTATCTGCCTTCATTCAATTTTTTTTCCGGTTGAATGCCGTATGTATGTAGCTTCGAAGAAGCACTGGCCGCATGTAGCTTCTCCGTATGTAGGTCCTCGGGCCGCTTCTACATAGATATGCATAGCACTTTGATTGGTGAGTGCCTCAGTGGTTACTACACGTCTCTTCCTGGTCTCGGTTGTATATTCAACGAAAAGTGCTATAAGCAGTGTTCATCTAAATATTCCATCCTATCTTAAATTCGTCGTTATGGCCGCGGATCATCATTTGCTCTCCTAATGATTCCCAGAAATGAGGAACGTATGCCTGATTTCTATATGTGGTCCAATGTCTGTAATCTATCTCATCTTTATGTGCCGTATCAGCTCATCAAACGCGACATCTGCCTTTATGCGACGGGCGCAGAGCCTGTCCCTGTATGTATGTGAGAATCTAACGGCTAGTTTCAGACTGTCATTTTCTGATGAGCAGATTATGAATCGATTCGGCTTACCGCTCCACTGGGACCTACGGAACGGCGACCGCCTACGAGCCCTTAGTTTGGCAGCTCGTCATGATGAACTGAATAATAACCGGAATCGTTTAGCGCTGTCGACCATGGCGAATCGTTCGGATGTGTTAATTGAGTGACGGAGGCTGACGGCACGCCGCCATCAAGATTAGCGAGGATAGGGAAACCTATTTCAGTGACAGTCCTGCTCCTATTTTTACCAATTGGATCAAGTTTTGCGGGAGCTCCATTAGAGGCAGCTCATTGAATTGAAATTAAAGTTACCACTAAAACATTTCATGCATTCAAACTAGGCAGGGTAGTTCGGATAGTAAATCTAGAGAATGTATCAGCGGATGAGCTGGGTGATCAATCTCGCCATAAATTCTCCAGTGCGTCTCGTTTTTTGTGCTATCGTAGATCCATCTTAGTTGCTGTCACGCAGTAGCTCCCATACCACCGCAGCTTTTTGGTCGCGTCCTTTGTCCCCATTCCCAGACCAGCGCACTCGTGAAGTAACCAATTTTCCTGGAAATTTTGTTTTGTTTCCGAGCCATCTATCTACCAAAGGAGCACAGTTGTTTTGGCTATGCATCATCGGACTATAACGCCTGCTACGAACCTTTTTTGCATTGCCGAATCACCAAGTATGATCTAAGTCTCTAAGACCTCCATTTTCCATAGCCACCCCAAATCTGTCACCCGTCCAGCGGCTGCAGCCGTTGCCTCTCCGTCGGCTGCAGCCGCTGCCTCTCCAGAGAGCTGTCGGCTGCAGCTGGAGCCTGCAGCCGGCTCTGCGGCCTTCCACCCCGGGTACGATCGATCTCTCGCTCCAGGGCTCACTGCTGCAGGTCAAACGACGAACCTCCCAGGCTGATCAGAAGGCAGCTGGTGTGTCGAGCTCCCGACAGCTTATAACAGGGTCAACGAGCGATGATAGATCCATCAGCTCTTCT